CATCCCAATTCGTTTCGGAATACCACTTCCAAGGTGTGATCCGCCAAGTGCCTGGGCTTCAGAAGTTTGAGAAAGCGTTCGTCGGAACACATTCAGTGAGAAGTTGTACGAAAGAACGACAGTACCCGTGACCCAAATTGGAAGCCTCGCGAGCGCCTCCCACGATTCGACGAATCCGCAAAGCGCAAGTTCGGTCTCGAACACTTCGGATCGTCGATCCGAAACTAGCGAAATTGGTAGTTACGATGGTTCTCGAGGAGTCGGGTAACGCGCGCTGTAACTCGAGCTGCCACTCGACCACCCTCTTCGCCGGGAGCACGGCGGGGGTAGTTTGTACGATTCAAAGGGGAGATTCGATTCACGAAATTGACGACCTCTTTGAAAACTTGCCCAACCATTACCGGGCTCTCGAGCGTCAAAAGAAGGACGACCTTCGCAGGATACCTTCTCTCGAGTTGACGTTCGGACGGCGGAGCACTCTTTGAAAGCTTCGATTCGACCAACCGTATACTTTTCATGCTCGAAAGGGAATTTGTTTCGCGAGTCGAACTCGGGCTCTCGCTTTGTGGGCTCGATCGAGCGACGAAACGTCTCGCGAGAAGGGTGGTTTCTTCGCGATTCCTGTTTCTTCCAATCAACGAGTTCCTCGACACGATACAAAGGGAACGTCGATTCGCTTCGACGTTGGAACTCGCGAGTTTCTTCGAGGTTCGACTGGTTGATGGGCCGAGTTGGATTACGAGATCCATTTCGATATCGGGTTCTAATGGAACGATTATCGAAGGATTAGCTCGCATACCAGGACGTCCAATCGGAGATCGATGAATACATCGCTTAACGGTTCCTCTGGATCGAGTACTCTATGTCACGGAGACGGAGCTGGACTTGCTCCTGGAGTCCAAGGAACGTCAATTTAGGTTAGGTTTCGCGACCCTTTCATTGAACGCAACTCGAGGACAGTATTCTAAGAGGATACGTCGTACGAAGTGAACCGAATTTGAAGGTGAAAGTCTCTCGGAAGCAAATGAAATCGCCGTCGCATCAACACGTCATCGTCAAACATGTTACAATGTACACCACTGTCTAGCTAACCTTGTCAGCAACGAACCGAACCCTCGAAACGAACATTCCTCGGATTTTTTTCGAAAAAAATGGGATCCTTGGCGTTCCCTTCGTCTCGCGTCGGAATACTTTCTCCCCCGTTTGATTAATAGGTGGCTCTCAGCCCGGGGACGGAATATCTCGCGGTATTAAAAGCGATTCCGCGGATCCTGCGGTGTTTCTGGCGCTAGCTGAAATTCGAGCAATCTCTCTGATGGAGCTCCTGCTTCGCGGCTGCCCGCTGACAAACTACTTTCAATCAACGAGAGAATACCTCGCGGTGCATTTGAAGATTGCCGGCTCCCTGCGACGCGAGCGTCTTCGGGCTTTCTTGCCAACTTTGGCCAGCTGTTTAGACTTTCATCCTTGGAGCTGGTGCCTTCAGAGGACCGCTGCCAGATCGACCGTGGCTCTCAACGCTTAGCTACTTGCCAACCCTTCGTCTGTCGCAATCTCGAGGCGTGGAAAGACGTCGGATCGTCAAAATATTCGAAGATATAGTGACTGTAGGCCTCTACGCTCGAGTTCATCGTCCGAATTTGGATGGACAGACCGATGACTGTAGACGAACGATGGTACTTTAGTAGTACTATCTTAGAAGTAGCAGAGTGCTCGTAGGTTCGAAGGTGGGTTTGTTCACGACGCGGTGTTCAAAGAACGAGTAGCGTTGTTTGCGAATGAGAGTACACAGTGCGAAATGGAACGAAAGAAGATGGAAGCCGAGGCGACGACGGAGTAATTGCTAGGCGGATCGACGAATTGCGGTTGTCCTTCGACGCATCTACAACCGGGTCAAGTGTCCTCGTCCCAGCGAGCGTGACCTTCGCGGCAGCAGGATGCGGAATTCTTTCCGCACTGCGCACACAGCGACCCTCTCGATCTCGAGAGCGTTCAGCTCTGCTACCCTTTGGACCAGTGTTTCTCAATCTTGTTGCCGACAATAACGGTATACCGGTCTTCTAAGGGTCCTCCGCGTCAAGGGGATGCCTTTCTACATTTACCAGTTTCTAGGCGATTTTCCGAATCGAGGTCCGAACTTAGTAAGCGTCGCTAATATCGAGATCGTTCGAAGGTGGAATTCGAATAAATATCGTCGTACGGTGCCGAGGTCCTCGGAGGGTAGTGTTTGTTAAGTAAAGCTTGCGATATTGACACTTTATTTACCGGCAGACTATTCATAGGCTTTTCACTTGCAGTATCTAGTTATTCGAATTTACTTACTGTGTCGATGGTTGCCTATTTACCATGTTCAGTTTTTGGAAACAGACTTGGTTTTCGATGTACCCAGTAACAATACGGAGGAATTATTGTCAGTCTAGATTGGCATATGTTACTATAGAAAATTCTTTATTTTAATTAAAGACTATTTCTAAATAGCCCGGTAGGTAAAATGTCAAGGTCATTCTGAGGTGAAATTTTGGTAAATACTGTCAATGATCCTGATATCGTTAAAAGGTGAAAGGTCTAGCGAATAGTGTCCGTGATATTAAGACACTCCTTCTTTCAACATATTCTTGAATTTATAACGCGAAAAGGTTTCATTTTTCAAAACCACCACGCGTTACCCTCGCGTTTCACTAAGAAATTATCCGTTTTTGTTAGATCTCCCCTCCTCCTGCCCCCCCCCCCCGTTGAGGATTTCTGAGCTAGACGACAGTCGAATCGTGTTTCTCTTGACCTTTCACCCGCGAAATCCTCCCTTCTCCCTCCCGCCCCGTCCTCTGTTTCTGGCTGTCGTTTCGTCCGCCTGGCACGGAAGAACTCGAGCTATCGACTGGCAACTTCCTGGACGCCGTGGCAACTTTTCTGTGTCGATTCACCATCCCGACACCCGCTCGCCCTCTCCCCTCCGATATGACCTAATATTTTTCGCGGATATTTCCCCGCGTCGTTGACCGCGACTCCTTTTCCTTCGCTTCTCCGACAACCTCGTCGAACTTGCTCGGTTCGCGGAGCTCTCGCCTCGACGAGTTACAGAAATTTTCGAAACGACGGAGAACAACAGCTGCTTCGGATCCGTCGTTACATATTTATCGTCGCGACGAAACGACGGACGGGGTGTGTCCAGAAATGTTCAAACATTGAATATTTCGGGTCAACGAGGTAACGAATACGTAGAGTAGTTATACGGCGATTTCGATTAACCTTAATTCGACTAGAGGCAATTCGATACATATTCATCGCCTTGTTGCCCCGCCGTATTCAATTTTGAATCACGTTTCATCGCATCGTTTCGTCGTTAAGGAGTAAACAATGATCTGCCGCGAACCACCACCTATCTCGTATAAGTATGTTACATTTGTTATTGTTTAAATTTAGAAGCAGAAACGTACTTTTTTTTTTTTGGTACAGTCGAACTACTCTACTCGTTTCAAAATGACGTCTCTTGACCGAAGCATCGTTCAACCCTGTACAACACGAACGACCGTTTAATCTTTCGATGACACTCGATGGGAAGTAATATTAACGGTAAACGCAAAACACGTATTTGTTTCCGTAGTCGACGGGATACAATGCCCTTCTGAGTGTCGAGTGGGGTACTTGGAATAAATTACTCTCGCAAAACTCCCGAGTGTTTATGAAATTAATGGTTGCAACGAAGGAGGACAATTCCGTTACAAAAACGCGGAATAATCCTTGTTATTTTGAATTAGTGTTACTACGCTATCGAACGTATTCGGTCGATGTAATCTCAAAGTTTCAAGAAAAATGGCGGTCGACGCGTTTACTATCGAACAGACCTCAACTTCTCGGCGGTCTATTCGTTTCACCTGTTAATGCAATACTTGCGTTTTCCTCATATTTTCCGACACGTCGGATAGTGATGAAATTGTAACGAAACCGAACTCGAGAGAAACCATTTATCCCGTTTTCCGTACTCGAAATTTTTACTCGGATAAGTGTTCTTTCCATCTCCGCTCTGTACGTATCGGTACAGGAAGGAAACTCCTCGAATAAAAACGTAGATTTATCGCGGTGCATTGTTTCATTTTCCAACAGCGTCCGTTCGTTTATTTATCGCGCGGGTACAGTGCGCGGCGCAGAAGCCTCGTCGAACGGTTAAAACGCGGCGATTCGCGGCTCGCGACGACACCGGGACGACACTCGACTTTCGCCCGTCAAAAGAGGATACTCGAGAATTTCTCAAGGGGAGTTGTTCTTTGAGGGAATTCCTTAGGGATCGTTTCGCCGTTTGTCTTTGACAATAATCGACGGTCTCGCAATCTCGATCCTTCACACTCTCGAAACGGCGCTTGCCTCCACCATTTTGTTGCTTTTTAGCTTTGGAATTTAGCCACGGAATTGGATCCCCTATTGAAACGTTAGTATTTGAATTTCGTATTAAATTTTGGGTCTCGGTTAGGTCTCGTATTAGAATGTCAGTTTAGGGTTGAATGTTCGTATCTGAATCGAATCCTCTGTTAGAATAACAGTCAAAGAATAGTTCGTAAAATACACCCACGTGAGGCTTAGAAAAACGTGAAGAGATCTCGTGGAGTGTACACAAATCTCAGGAAGAATTGCAGAGAAATGGTATCGATATGAAAGATAAGCAGATAAAGTTACATCAATTTGAAACTAGAGCGGCGGAACAATCCCTCTGTAATACGAAGAAATCCCAAGGAAAGAGCGTCAACACGAAAAGTGACGTCATAAAATTCTTTTCAAAAGTCCAAGGACGGTTTAACCACGACTCGTTTCCCTTTCCTTGCCCCTCGACGAACGCTCGACCCTCGCGAAACAGCAATTGCTCCGCGTCCTTGTTTCCATACATTTCAACCATAGAATTTTTGCTTGGAAATAGTTTCTTTCCTCGAGTATTCGTCGGTCGTTCTTCGTCGGTCCTGAGAACCGGTACGTTCACCATAATAAGCAGTGAAATTAGAAATATTAGGGTGTAGTGATGGTTCAGTTGGAAAAGCATTCGACTGATAGTCAAAGGACCTGAGTTCGAGTCTTCGTGGAGAGCCAAGAGCTATTTTCGATTATTCGAGGATCGCAGTTTGTTTCTTCGAGTATTCGATGATCGTTCCTCGTCATTCAGTCTAAGAGTCAATGGAAACAGACATCGCTTATAAAGAGGAAGCTGCGAGATTCTCGAAGGAGGACTCTTACTCCTCGCAACAGGAATTCCTTTGAGGTTGTTCTCTTTCGTTGTTGGCGAGTTCTGTTGAGAGTTGCTCCAGAGTTTCCTGCAGTAACCTATTTAAAAAGCAGGATCTGGTACTTGATATTGTACGGGACCGACTCCGGGAACGATCCTACTCGTCTCAAAGGATCCTCGCGGAGTCACCAGTTTATTGCGAGGCAACTTCCAGGAGGTATTCGCGGTCTCTCCTTAGCGATACGATATTTCTGTTCAGTATATCAGAGACCTTAGTGTATATTAAACACTGAAAAACGTGTCGATAAATATTCTACTTTATTCTCTCCGAGCATTCGCAAAGTGTTTACCGAAGACCTAAGAATTACCCGATCCTTCGAATTATCCATCATCTTCGATCGAACAACACTTCCAATCAGCCCCTAATCGAACCTCATCTATCCATAGACGTCGTCGATCGGCTGGAAGGTTCTCGAGGGAACTCCTCGCGTCTCTGTATTCGTTCGAATACGTCTTTCGTCTTTCGTTCGAAGGCCACGCGGAAAGCAAATTTAACTCTCGTCCTTGACCCACTGAGTTATTTAACGATCCCCTGTCGAGCTGGAAGCAGCCTAGCAAACCAGATTAACGGCCGCCACCCTCGTTTCCAGCTTGGACTCGGTTAGAACGGATCAAAGAAGACGAGGAGAAGGCGAGAGATCCGAGGAGAACGTTGCCGTGGACAAAAACGGTCCAGGTGGAGTTCAGAGGCTAGAAAAGGACCAATCGCGTTCAGGATCACGAGTGTGGAGGCGACATGACCGGCCACGATCCCCGCGAACACCACCGAGGTGTACAGTAGCGTCGGTTGATGACATCACGGGGTGGAAGGGAATCGAAGGGGCGGCGAACCGTCGAAGGATGAGAAACGGAGTCGCGGATCGTTCTAGACGGGAGTAAAGATCCTCCCGCGTGCTTTTCTTACGGCGATTCCGTCGCGAGCGATGACGTTGTGCCGTGTGTTTTTGTGACGTGCTCGATTCCGACCGAGTTCCTCTGTGGGAAAACGTCCTGCGCCCTGGATTCTTCGCAGGTGAGTCAAATCAAAGATAATTCACGTTCACGGTAGCTAGTTCGAGAGCTGGTTTCAATTTAGAGCTGCCTCTGTGTTGGCTTGCGAGACAGGTTCGAACAGATTTGGATAAACTCTGATCGAAATTGAAAATGAGAACTATTCCCGTTGTTTTCGCTAGAATATTTATACAACGCGAGTTCATTCGAAATGACATCGTTCGTATCTGCTCTCGAACATGGTAATTAAAAGGAGTATATAATTACAAGGAGCAAAGGAGTATATTTGTTTGTCTAATTTAAATGAATGCTTCGTGATTCCAAATAAATTCGTACATATTTATAATGGAAAATTGATTTGGAAACACGAAGCCTATCATTTAAATTAATCGAATTTCTTCGATAGATATCGAAGGTACTTATGAGACTCTGGCTACGTATTTATTTAATTACGAAGTACGAGCGAACTCGGAAAATTATACCATCTTCTTTCGCCTCGCGCGATAACTGTTCGAATAGCCCCTGAAAGCAGCGAGCATTAGAACGATTAATGCACTCGAAATAAAACCCACGGCCCCGGTTGCCGAACGCGACCGTCGTAAAATAAAATCGGAGAATCTTCTCGGTTCTTGGAAGTTTGAAAAATTAATGCGAAACTCCCTCGGCAGCGCGACGACGACCGAGCTTTCCATTTGCGCCCCTCGCGTCCGTTTTTAAAGTCGATTCACGTTCTCGAAACGCGAGGCCGCGACTTTAAAAGAACTCGAAGCACCCCGGAAACACCATCGCGCCACCCTCTCGCGTTGGTTCGTTCTTTACGGTAACCTCCCAGCACGCGGAACCGGTTGCTTCGGGTATTTTTAATATCGGGACTCTTCGAATTGCAACGAAAATAGAGATCGAGATAACTCGGCCGCGGAACGCGGCTTGCTCGAGACACTGGAATAAATTCGCAAAATTGTACACGCTGTACGTGCGTTCTCCCTCGAACGCCGGAGGAATGTGATTTTATGGAGCTCAGATCTAACCGGAGTCTATATTTTACTTTGTATTTCGCCCGGGAATATTCGCGGGAGCGTTGGTCGCTGATTTTTATGAAACCTCGCGGATTTATAGTGCGCGGATAAAGGATGTGTATTTCTTTTAATGGAAATTTAAATTCATGGGGCTGTTTATCTGGCAATCCGTTCTGCCGCTTTGTTGGATATTATCGAAGACGGAGGAAAAGTCGCCCGTGGTTCATGTGTCACTATATTTTGCGATGAAGCGTTAGGTCATCCCGTAAGTTCGTGCCGCAGACTGAGTCAATATCTAATAAAAAAACATTACAAAAATTTTATAGCGACGGTAGGTACAACAACTATGTCAGAAAGGTGAGAAAATGTTGTAAAATCAGGCAGATTACATTTTTTTTTTTATAGCACTTAAGGGTACGTTTCACAGATTAATTTGAGCAGCAGAAGAATAAGTGATACGAACTTGTGGGATGACCTAATATCATTGTTTAGTTGGCGAGGTATCAGTGCCAAAGCCCTATCGAATGTTTGTTAATCGTCTACAGAGTCAATAGAAGCAGCTAGACATTGTTTATACGAGAAAGAGATTCTCGAAGGGAGACTGAAACTGGAATTCCTTCGAGGGTTGTTTTGCTAAGAGTTGCTCCAGAGCTTCCCGTAGTAATCTATTTAAAAAACCCAGGATGTGACACTCGATCTTGTCCCGGAAATCTCCTTTCCTCGAGCATTCGAAACACTGACTTTGAACGATTATATTTCTCTCAGAGGATCCTCGAGGATTCCTCGAGAATTTTTTCTCATTCGATACGATTCTTCTGAAGCAACCGTCGAAGACCCTCGGCACGAGAATGTAGTCAGTGAAAATCTAAAGCCGAAGCTACATATTAAAAACAGTTGCTTAAACGTACCAACGAATCGAAATCTCAGCTCGAAAAATGCTCCGAGTCCTCGCTACAGAGTAATCTCCCAAAGAGATCCAATGTCACTGGTGCCAACGATATTCTCGCTCGTTGCTACGTGACTCTTAGGATCCAGCATCAAATCGCGAGATTCCAGGGGTTGAGGGTGTCGCGAGGATCTCGTAAAATTTTTACGCCGTCGTCCAAAGGGACAAGTTTGTTCGGTAGAGCGTAGCGAGCGTCCAGCTGATAAGTAGGCAACCTGGAACCCAGGCGTCCAGAGACGTTGTTTCCCTTTCCTTTTCCTCGGAAATTTACGACGACAACGGTCGGTCATTTCGGTGTTTCCCTCGGGGGGGTCGCGGGACTAAGCCTCGTCGTAAATTGGCTCGCCCCTGGGACTGGCCCCTCGAATTTCTGCTTACGAAACGGCAGCGTCGGGACGCTGCTCTCGCTGCTTCCGTTTCCTTATCGAGTTTCCTTTCTTCACAGCGACACCTGCAGAAATTTCATTACTCGACTCCTCGAGTCTTTATCCCTCCGAATGACTGAATTAGTTTTCTTCCCAGGGTTCCACTGTCGTGGCTTTATTTATCGATCGCGCGTGCCTGACTCTTTCGCGAATTGGCCGAATTTTCGAGAGACTGGAGAGAAGAATTTATGGGATCGGCGGTATATATGCCATCGGATATGCGAGAAGAAATATTCGAAATGAAATTAAACCGCGAGTTGACCGTAGTCGCGCGAAATGATAGCATGTTGCCGAGGACGTACGTTAAATACGATATCAACATTTAATACGTAGGATTATTAACGCTCAGGCATCGGGAATCGCGCGAGTCGAGCTTCAAATGAGCTTTCAATTTCATTTTTTCGCGGTTGCGTTTTGGACGCGGAGCGACGAAACCGAAACAAAATGGAGAAACGCGGTAGATAAATGTAATTGCGACTCGACTGGTAACTACGGTAATCTTGGTAATACCTTTTCCCTTTGCGTCTCGAAATTCAACCGCGAACGTGCTATGAAAAAAAAAAGACAAAAAATAAAAAATTGAAAAAGGAGAACGCGTGTCGTACTCGGTAGTTTTAATTGCGCCACTGGAGTAGATTACCAAAGTAATCTACCAAATGGACTCTACAATCATAGAGAGAAAGTAAACCTTTTAACCGAGTATTCTAATATTCCGGTTTTTATTCGCTTAAAGCACGTATTTTGTTTAACGTATAAAATACTGTACAGAGAGAAAGAGCCTACCTGAATATCTCCCTTATTTTCCGTGATACGAAAATTGTTTTTGGACGTGATTTCAATGATTTTAGCGTGTAATATAATCTACGCCTCTGTTTTTCGCCAACACAGAAAATAATACCGCCCTTAAGGGCAAATTGTCATTAAAATATTCGATATTAATCGAGTTTCCATATAAATTCTCCCAAATAAGAAAATAGTCGATTACAAAATTGAAATTTATATCGTAGAATTTATTATCCAGTCTCATCCTCTATATTAATATTAAACTGACGACATTTTCTGTTCGCAGACAAGTGTTTGGTGTTCCTGAAGCCTCTGGCCGATCGTTTTGTGCGCGGTTCCACGCTCGAAACGGGATTGGGAGTGATCGTGTAGTTCCAAAGTTGTTCCTCGAGCGCGTCGACGGTGGTGCGATCGCGATCCACGGGAAAATCGATCGCGAAAAAGTGTCCTCGAGCGGAGAGCGGCGCTACTGGCCCTCGGCATGAAGGGTGAGTCCTTTGAAACTAAATATACCTGCATGCTTCTTCCTCGTTCACCAGCTATTCCAAACATTCTCGACGCCCTCCGAACCTTCTCGAATGTCCGTCAGTTTCAAAGACTTAATAGACGCGAGGATATTTCATCGAACCTTTCCCGAAACACTGACAATTTTTCAATTCTACTTAAAACTATATCGCGTAAATTTCTTCGATTAATATCTACATTTGCTTCGACATATTTTTAAATAACACTTTTGCATCAGGTTGTCCCGAAAGTTTCTTCCATTTCATTAATTAGTAATACATACATTTTGCTCCGTTACTGTTACAACATCAGCATCTAAGAAATTAGGTCGTCTATATATGTAAACACAGCTACATAAAGTAACCGAGTCACGAGAGAAACTTTTGGGACAATCTAATGTTCACAGCGTTTAGGTTATAGGTTCGAATTAATTAATTACGAGCTCGATCGATGATATAAGTACTTTCCGAGTTATCGAGTTCCACGCACAATCAGACAGATCCTTCACACCATCCATTTTATGGAACGTTCTCCGATAAATTACGTTCGATCGAACGAAATACGCGAATCAACGAACGTATTACGTAGAAAACGTGAATGATCGAGACTCGACGCGTCCCGTGTTTCGCTCGGCAGGTTCTGGGAGCAATTTTAATTCTCCGCGTCTCGCTGCTTAAATGGGTTATGCAAAGCAGCTGTTACGGAAGCAGCCTGTAACCGGCCGCTATCATTCGTCGGGGATTCTCGGAAATTTTCGCAGGACCGGGCGATTCCGGCTGCGTTTTCGCAACTGCCTGCGAAACTCCCCGCGAGATTTGCATTTTCAATTTCGGCCCCGCGGTTCGTCCTCCCCTCGTCCCCTTTCTCCTGGACGACTCAACTCTCGCGGAAGGTTTTGAATCGCTGGGCGCAATTCGTTCTCCATATTTGCACAGGAATCCACCGCCGGGGAACAAAACGCGCTTTTTAAACGACTGGTGGACACTGGAACGGTGGGAGAAGGTCAATGGAGGGACGCGATTCTGTAAATGTGATCGTTGCTGGCCGCGAACTTTACGCAGACACCAGATTTTCCATGCACTTTCTCCAGTCACTTCGTTCCAACGCTCGATATATATTCCCAGGACGTGAAGTGTCGTTTCAGGGCACCGGCGCGTTTCGCGAAAGTTTGTTCGGGGCAGATTTTCGATGATTGGTGGTTTTTGCCCGGGCAGATAGGCCGATAAAATCGGCAGGCCGGAGATTGATCTTGCGATGAACCGTTTTCGTCCACTCGAAAACGAGCATCGAGATCGCAGCTCCGATAATGGATTATCACCCGAGCCCGTATACGTACAATGTTTCTGTCGTGGCCGCGATGAATCGCCAGCTGTCGTTTCCGACGAGATCGCGATTTACTTGGACCGAACGCTCCTCTAATTAGTTCCAGCTGCCGCTGCTGAAATAATTCAGAAAAATTTCGGCTTTAGAGCATAACTTACCCAGGACTTTTCGGTTGGAAGTTTCCGATCAGAATTCGTTTGACGTTTGCAATTTGCGAGTCGATTTTTTTAAAGAATTCGTCCTACGTACTCGCATCGCGTGTAGTCTTTAGGGGTTATCTTTGTCTAAACGCAGTTAAGAACGTAGGACGTATAAAATAATACACGATACAGCGTAAATTGATTTAGAAACCAAGCGTGTAGTCTTCAGCGGTTGGACGAGATATTTACACTACTTTCTTCATCTAAATGCAACCAGGAATAGAGGACGTATTGAATGATACGCGATAAAATGTAGCGTTTGATGTTAGTGTTTTCCAATTAGTCGAAACGAATTAAAACAGTTGTTACCAGTTTCAACGTTGACGAACAACGAGGCAAGGGGAAACAGTCGATATTGGTCAGACAAGGCCCCCAAGCCTCGCGCGTACGAAACGAATATTCGAAATCGATGTTCCCCGAAAAACGAAGCCTCGTACGAAACAAATGTATATAGAACATGTAACTTTTTCGATTTCTTTCTGCACGGAGAATCGGCCTGTGCCGGTTGTGCCATTCGTTCTCGATCGGCCCGCGTTAAATGGGTGGACGTAGACTGGTGCGATCTACCGCACGTGCTGTTATTCGTTCAGATATAAATAATGAAACAAAAGCTAACCGAATCCAGCTGTGTGTAGAATGCGAGTAATCGAAACGGACAAACGTTACGTTACGTTTGCCAGAACGATTCTTTGGTGGGATGGATTTTCAATTACGTCGGTGTAACATTAATACCCCCGATGTGAAATCTGCTTCAATTTAAACGAAACTCCGAGTACAGTAAACCCTTCTATAAAATTAAATTAATTCATGCGCGGATAATAATGCAATAAAATGAACAAATTACTCGCACCACTGTACCGAATCTTCCATAAATTTTCATTAACGGAAGAAGTCGGTGTTCCGGCAGAGTTGCGAGTCAATTAAAAATTTATGAGGTGCCTATAGCGTATCCTGGCCACCAGCAGGGTGAAACGGTGGGTCGCTACAGGCTCCGTTAGCACCGAAATGGTTAATTAGCGGCGCGGATCGGCGGCGGGGAGGGGGGGGAGGGGGGGGAGGGGGTTGAAGGTCGTTGAATTAATAGGAAGTTAATTGTAGAAGAGGTTCAGGATTTATTTTCGCTGGGACGCGTACCCGCGACCGAAGCGGCGGTCGCGCAAATATTTGTCCCCTACCCTCCTGGCTCTTTGAGAGCGGAAAAGTGGCTGTTTAATCTGGCGACCACTCCCAGCGGCTCCTTTTTTTATATTTGCCTCGACACACCGGCGCGAAATGAAAATTCCATCTCTCCGGAGACAGAGCGCGACGGGGGTGACCTTCGCGGCTGGAAATTTCGCCCGTTCGTTTATTCGCGCTTCGCGACACGCTTTTTCGCTTCCACGGAAAACAGGGACCCGGCAATTAGCGACGTAAAACGTCCCACCCTCCCCACCTCGGCCCATGGAACGCTCGAAGAGGACTATTTTATGAAACACCGGCAAGCCTTCCGACTCGAAATTATATTCGCCATTATTTCACGTGGAATTTCAGAAAGAGTGGCGTTCTCGACCCTATGCTTTTTACATTTCCTCGCGAAATCTGATTTCGTCATTTCAACTGGTCCGTTGCGAAGGGAATTTCTGTAGGTGAAACGATCACGTTTAACGTGCATCGCGAGGAGAGACAGAGTATCTTCACCATGGAGTGTATTACCATAGGTAACGTAGAATCTTAAGGGAGCAGTCCTTTAATTTTGTATCTCGATTAAATGGCAGTGGACTCTTCGAACTTCCAGCGTCGATAATTGTTCCAATCGAAGGAGCATCGATGGGATAATGGCGCGAGAAACGACGATGAGATTTCACGCGCGAAATTCGCGTCCCCTCGATCGTTTTCCCACGGTTTTCACTTCGGAGTGTTCGCGAGAGGCAAGAAGCCAGCGAAGCTCGCGGGAACTTGAATCCGCGGCTCAAAAGTTTTCCCGGTAGAAACCATCCGGTAATTATTGCGTAACTTCGACCGGGACTCTTTGTTAATAACGAAAGCCACTCGAGACGAGTATCCGATGTTGAGCGCTCGAGGAAGCGTGAACTTCGTCTTCGCACTTCTGTTCCTGTTCTCCCATCGACTCGCGGTTACTTCCGTATATAGAAATATCCAAAGCCTTCTTTCCTCTACCCTTTCCTCTTTCGAGTCGCGATTCTCATCGATGAACACCGTGGGCAGGATCGTGTAATTTTCTGATATCTGATTTCATTCCGATTCAATTCTTGCGATATTCTCTATAAATGTTGCACAGTATAGAAACTTGGATGGAGTTCATTAAATTAAATAGAAGGGAATATCAACACTAAATCTAATTTTTCAACTCTTGTGTACAGCTCTTACGTACAATGTATAAATTATATACAATTGTTTCATGTATCAGGTTGTTCTAAAAAGTTTCTTTCGCGAGTTGCGTTCAATTATTTTCTGTGGCAGTGTTTCTATAAATAGACAATCTAATTTCTTAGACATTGATGCTGTAACAGTAACGAAGCGAAATGAATCGTACACAATTCAGTAATGTAACATAAAACATACCATATTGTGTATATATTAATTATTAACAAAATCAAAGAAACTTTTGGGACAACCTATAATTATTATTGAATTTAATATCACGTGAAACATTTTTACATACAAAAAAGGTTTATTTACGACCAGTCGTTTAAGCGATTACTGTAAAAATAGTTAGTAATACTTGTTAAGCGTGTTATTAAAATATCAAGTAATTGTAAGAGACGTCTTCGTTATTATTCCTGGAAAATCTTTTGTATTTTGCTTGGTATTTTCATTCCTCGAAGTTTTCATTAAATCGCATTTTAATTCCAGCAGAATTCCAGCATCGAAAAGTGATCGATGCGGAAAGACCCTCGAGAGTCTTGAATAATTTATCGTTTGAAAAGTGGAAATAATTGCACGCGCCCTTTGTCGACATAAAAAAAAAAAAAAAGAAAAAAAAAACGCCTTCATATTCGAATGAAAAGCAATTTATGCGCTTTGTTTCGCTCCAGCGCTGTCTTGCAAAACTCTGCTTTTAACCAGTTTCCCTTCCGCGTTCGGTCGATTGGCAATTTACCAGCTTTTTTGGTAAATCATCGACGTCCTAATTTCGAAGCAAAATTACATTCTACGCGATTACTTTTCTTCAACTACTTCCGTGCTTCGTTTGTTCGTCGATTGCGTCATATAGACACACTCAGGCTTCTATTAAACTCCCCAGCGATGCAATGGAATCGAAAATCCATCGATTAAAGTCACGTATACGAACTTTGGTATGTTAAGGAGGCTCTAGTGCAAATAGAAATAACGCCAAGAAAATTATCAAAATTTGTATACGGGTTAGATTTTATCCCAAAAACATTCAAATTTTTGCCCAACTTTTGATCTAGACACCTTCTTTTATATATCTTTTCTGTCACCCTTTTGCCTCTCCAAAA